GGAGGGGGGGCCCGCGCCTCGGCCCTCCGGCCCCCCTGCCCCTGCGCTGCCCCCTCCTGGCTGACCCCGCCGGCCTTCCCGGCGCAGGTACTACGAGACCGGCAGCATCAAGCCCGGCGTGATCGGTGGCTCCAAGCCCAAAGTGGCAACGCCCAAAGTGGTGGACAAGATTGCTGAATACAAGAGACAGAACCCAACTATGTTTGCCTGGGAGATTCGCGACCGGCTCCTGGCGGAGGGCATCTGCGACAATGACACGGTGCCCAGCGTCTCTTCCATCAACAGGTGAGCAAGCCATGGGCCTACAGGGCGGGACTGCAGCGCGCGACTCCTGCCTTCTGGGGCAGCTCCTGGTGTGGGGTCTCCACTCTTTGTCCAGCCTCTGCCCTTCTTCCTCGCTCCAAGCCCAAGTCCTTTGGGCAGGGAAAGGGGACCTGGAGGCAGGCAGACAGACAGAACTGTCCTCACTTCAGGGCTGGGTATTCCCTGTCAGGCTTCTCCTGCCGGCGTCCTGGAAATGAATCCAAGTGTTTGTGGTAATTAAGACTCCAAGATTACGTGCCTCGGGATCTAGAGACAATCACAGCCCGCAGCCGAAGCCTTTAAAATGACCAGTGTCTATTCACTGCCTCCAAACAGACTTCCCTTTCTAAAAGCATGCTCCCTTCCCCAGGGGCAGCCTCAGTCCTGGCTCGTCTGCCCTCCCTGCCAACTCCCACAAAGCTTGCCTCCCGGGGGCCTGGGGCTTGTTAGCCAGTTTTACACAAATTTCCGGCCTGCGAGCCCTGGTATCCAGTTCTGTGGAGCAAATGCCAACCACAAGCCAGCAATTGGCAAGAGGTAGAGGAGCTGGACAAGGAATGGGATGCCAGGAAGGGTGGGAGAACTCTAGACCCCGAGACTGAGCCTTGGGGGATGTCCCCAACCACCTAGGGTGCCAGTGTCCAGTCTAAAGTCTTCACACTGATAGCAGGTTCAGGCCAGTGGAGATGACGCAGGCTGAACAGATAGGGCAGTTAGGTTTCCTAATCCAAACCAGCCCCACATGCTCTCTGAGAGAACATGCATGCATAGCCCATGCGTGTACACTGGCCAGGGTGCCAGCGTGCTTATCTGTGGTCGCCTCAGCACATATCAACAGCAGCTGGGCCCAGGAACCCAGGTTGGCTTCCTGATCTCAGACCTATTCAACCTGACAGTTGTATACAGAGACCCCAGACAAGCTAGAAGCATGTCCCAGATGGCTTGGCTCCCCCACGTTAAGGTACCTGCAAATGACAAGACGACTGGGGGTTCCAGACCCTTGTTATTCTTTGCGTTCTTCCTGGGCTCATTATCAGGTCAACTAATAATTCAGATGGTGCCTTTTTCTGAAACTGGCATCACATATCAAGGCTTTTTTTTTTTAAATATTTTGCAAATGATATGGAATTATCCCAAATCATCCTGAAAACAGCAGGTAAAATTAGCTGGTAGAATGTACCTTGGCTAAAGAAGATTCCCTCTGCCACACTTGTGCTGTAACGTACTGCGAGGCGACCTCGGAAATTATCCCAGTGTGTGCCATCTGTATTAAAATGGTTATTCAGTTATGAACAGGGTAACATAATACTGATCAGCTAATTATACACCCTCCGAAAACCCTCCAGCTCCCTGGGCCTGGTGCAGCCAGGTACTGAAAGCATAGCCGTTTGACATTCAGACACCTTCCAAAGGAACTGGAGAAAGATGCAGGGTGGTTTGGGAGAGGAGTAAGTCCTTTGCATTTAAAAGCCAGGGGAGGAGGCTAAGAAGCCTGGGGGGCTGAGGCAGAAATGGCAGTTAGGGAGTGGCAGGGGACACAGCATGGATTTCTGAGCCATCCAGGGACTCAGCCTCTTGGCTGGCTGCTGGTCCTAGGAGTGAGTTGGAACCCAGGTCTTGGGAGGAGCACAGATGAGGCCAAGAGTGGCCTGCTGAGGAGCAGTGCTGCTGGGACTCAATAGTTGTGTTGTGGACAATGTGTTTGAGAAACGCTGTTGTCAGCGATAGGAGTTACCCAGACTTTAGAGGAGCCCAAACATGTACGGCTAAGGTGAACTATTTCTTGGAGCGGATGGGAGAGTGGTGCATCCCGGCAGGTGTGTGGCCACCAAGTCTTACACCCCATGCCACTTTCTGGTTGAGATGTTTTTAGGAGCCACCTAGGCCCAAGTTTGGGAATACCTTCATCCTGAAAAATTACTTACAGAGAGCAAGGGACCGGTGAGCCCAGGACTGAGCTCCAGAGGCCTTGAGGTGCACCCACCAGGACGGGCAGAAAGTAGACAAGCCACAAGTGAGACAACAGTGGGGAAAAGGAAGGCTCCCTTGCCGACTCTGACAGCTACAGAATCCAGCCCAGAGCCCTACGCCTGAGGAGCAGGGCGGCTCCTTTGGGTGTGGAGGAACAGCCCTCTGTGGGCAGGTGTTGCTGGGGATGAGCAGGGGGAGTGGGAGGAGAGAACCGAAACACGGCCAGTCATGCAGGGTCCATGGTTAGGCTTCGTGGCTTGTTTGTCAACAAGGAGCAGCAGGCTGTTCTCGATCTTCATTTTGGATCAGAAGCCTCCCGTGGTGCATATGTTAGACAGGATTCTGGGGGCTCCCCGGTGTGCTGCTGAGTTGGGGCTGACGGGTACATCTGGGCACTGCACCCTTAGTTACAGCTCTAGGCCTTTGCTCAGAAGAGGGGAGGCATATCTGAGACGTGTTGTTTCACCCTCAAGCCTGGGAAAGGTGGATGTCCCTCTGGCAGCAGCGACGTCAGGGCCTTTGCCTGTTCTCGGTTTGGGGAATTTTCATTGTCCGTAAGAGGAACCTGGAGATTTCCCTCTGTGCAGAAGGCACTGTGCAGAAGGAGAGGGTAGTTCTTGAGCATCAAGCTTCATCGTTGCCCACTTGGGTACTTTCTGACAGTTACAAGTAAGGGTGGGCGTGAGCTGCGGTGGGCAAGAAAGGAAGTCCACGCATGCGCGCCCACCTGAGCCAAAGACTTTCCGTCTTCTCCTCCCCAAACAGATGCTGTCGCCGCACTTGAAATATGCTGTTTTGGTTATGAACTGAATTGCTTTTCATGCTTTAAAAAGGGTTTTGGCAGCCTCTGGACCTGTCGCGATAAAGGCTTGGCCTTCCAACCCACGTTCTTCAGTAGCAAGTCCTCATAGAACTGCTTCATTGTGCCAAAGGAGTGGGTCAGGGAGGCCTCCTACCTCCAAGACCACGGTCAAAAACCCCAAGGGCTGACAGGGTCACTCAGCATGGGGGATTTGTCCAAGAATCTAGGAGAGATTGTTAGAGATTGTTCTGAACGCTGGTTACCGATCCTGAGCAGAGTTGCCGCCCCTCAGCCTGTACGCTGCTGCTGTGGTGGGTGGTGTTTACAAACAGGTGACTTTAGATTGAAACCCAGTGTGGAAAGTGGCCTGGAGGGGGAGAGGTGGAGGAAGATCCATGCTACTGGAAGGAAATAGTCACCTAGTTACACCGCTGAGCAATTGACCAGGCAAGAAGAGTTTTCCTGATTAGCTGCCAACGTCTGCTGGGTTGGCCGTTGTTCTGGGCAGGGAATACAGCCCCCCTGAAAGAACAGAACGAGCTCCAGATAGAGCCTAAGGTAGCCGAGCATCCCCTGAGGGTTCTGCCTGGGAATGAGTTAATAAGAGCATCGCCTTCCAGCTTTTTTGCTTGCTCTGCTCTCTTTGGGCGGGACATTCTCCACCCATAGATCTTTGGGGTGGTCTCTGCCAGAGTCAGCTTCTCACTGCTCACCCACTACCCACATTCTCTCTCAGCCTCAGTGAGCACACTCATTCTTTCAGCGGTGGCAACACTGGCTTCTAACAAGCCACAGTCCAGCGCCGTGTGAAAGGACTCCATCCTGTGTCACTTGGGTGTCCATGCCTCATTCCCCAGTCTTTGTCAAAGCTCTGGCGTTGGGAGTACTGTGTTCTACCACTTGTTCATTTAAAGATCTTTCCAAACAAGTTGGGAGCACTTAGCCTAGTATCCCTGACCCACTCCTTTGGCTAGGAGGATGGGTGGAAGGCGCTCAGGGCTGGCTAGATCCGCTTCTCCTCCGAAATTCAGGCTCTAGACCGTTGTATATCTGACTCTTGGACCTGGGCTGGTGTGGTCAGCAGGGTGGCCCTGCCCGCCACGTCTCCACGCCACTGCAGCTATTTGGTGGTCATTGCTATTGATCTCATGGCCAAGAGCCAGGACAAGTTGGCGAGTTAAGAAAAAGACTTCTGTCCTCAGAGGAATGGGAAAGGACAAGGACTGAGAACTTGCTTCTGAGTGCCTGCTCCTAGCAGAACGGGCCTCCGCAAGTAGCAGACAGACATTCCAGCTACTGTCTGAGAAGCCTTGCTCACCTGTCCTTCCCAGACAAGGTCCCCTGCTGTTGAGACCAGCCAGCATTAGATTAGCATGTGAGACTGGCATGACTCTTTTTTTTTTTTTAAAGAATTACTTTTGTTTTTAAACTTTTATTTATTTATTTATTTTATTTTGACCAGAAAGGAGGGGGGATGAGAGAGAGAGAAAGTGAGAAAGCAAGCCGCCAGCTCTGGGACTTGAACCACGGTCGGCCATGTGGGAGTCCAGCACCCTTAACCACCATGCCACCTGCCGGCCCCAAAATTGGCATGACTCTTGACATTCTTATGCCTTAAAAGGAGCTGGAGTTGTCCTCCTGCAAAGCCCATTTTTGCTTCCCTTCGTTGTCATGTTGGTCTGGCTCCCTGCGGGCTGGTCCTGTGGGCATTCGGGTCACACAATAGCTTCCGGATGAGAGCCTGAAATGCCCAGCCAGAGTGCTTGTCCCAGCTAGCAACTCCTGAGAAGAAGTAGACAGGAGGGGTTGGTCCTGGCAGCAGCTCCAGGATGGTTTTGGAGGGTAATGAAAAAAAAAAAAAAAATGGGTTTTGGAGGGGAATGAAAAAAAAAAAAAAAAAGAAAAAAGAAAAGAGAGGGAAAATCCTAAATAAATAAATAAATAAAGTGCATCCCAACTCTTCTGAGAACTCAATAAAACAATCACATCAAATATGAAGAGGCATAAATCTTGTGTCTGCACAGGTAACCTACTCAATTGCTTTTATTATCGCTCAGGCTGCCTCCATTTATTACCGTCCACGGCTTGGGCCGAGGAGGCTGCGTGGAGGGTGGTCTCCAGTGCAATCCTACACCCCGAGAGGCAACAATCAGCCCATACAGCCGGGGATTTCGATGGGAGCCCAGGAAGGGCCCATCTGTCTGCATGA